GAGAGGCTCTACGAGAGTAAAGTATCTTGCCCAAGAACACAACACAGTGCCCCAGCCAGGGCTTCAACCCAGACTGCCCAATCTGGAGTCCAGCACACTAACCATTAGGCCACTGTGCCTCCCACCCTGGCCATTAGTTAAGCTTAATACATGTCAGTTTGAAGAATTTTTAAGCCATGCTGATTGTAGGCTTTACAAAATGAAGCATCCATTCTATTTGTTTTGAGGAAGTTTATGGACTGGGGGCACAACTGAGTTATGTCAAAAACTTAAATGTTCTCAGGTTTTCCTGTAATTTAATTGCAAAACATTGGTGTTTCATTTTTTTTGCTGTCAGATTTGTGGGTTTAGTCTTTTCAAGAAATAACAAATGTAACAAACTGGAATTTCAAATCGTTTACCAGGCATTTCTTTTCTTATTTCATTGTTTGAGGAAAAGTTGTACAAGGTTGCTGCTGTGGGAGTTAAGTTTTTGCACCCCCCCTTCCCCCTTCTGATAATGTTCATATGAAGTAATGGCATAATTAATTGCAGAGTGTTCTTAGAACCATAGTTGATTATGAAATGGCTTTGCTGTTTCGTTAAATGCTGCGATGTAACAGTGAAATGAGCATCAAAAAAGTTTGATATTCAACTTGTCTTAAATTTCAGTGTGGCAAGACTATGGTTTGCCAGATTGAGAGTACCCCAGACACTCAGCCCCTTCCCCTGTATGTAGAGAAGGTTTTTCTGAACCTAAATTCTTACTTAAAGGGTATTTAATTCCCTTAGTTTTTTTTAACTTTTCCCCTATTGGAAAAGTTTAATTGACAACATGATGAAGGTTTTTATAAGGAAATATATATTTTATTGTATAAATATGTGTTAAATAATGATCACAATGTTCAGAAGCCTTTTATGTGTATGAATGACTAAAAATTATGAAGGTGAACTTGTTCTTAAAGAATATTTGAAGTTTAAAGAAAACACCAGTCTAATGTCTAAATCCGTAAAAAAAATTGTTACAATAGAGGATGAAGACACATTCAAAGCATTGTACAATATTACTTTTTAAACCTTCAAATTATTAATATTAATTAAATAACTGATTCACATTTCAACAGACATTCATGTTTGTGGTTCAATCAAATCATAAAACAATTGCATGATATGAACCAATAAAAATGTGTACCCAAAACAAACCTTATCCATGTCTTAAATTATACACTTATTTATTAATTTTTTCAATAAGTGTCATGAGAAGTTGATTTTGAAGCTGCTGCTGCTGCTGTTGTAATTGCATTTGCTGCTGCTGCTGTTGTTGCTGTTGCTGTAGTTGTTGTTGCATGAACTGAAACATCTGTAGTTGTGCAGATTGTTCATCTTTCTTAACTTCCAGTTCTCCTTTCCTCAGGTCAAATTCCTTTTCAGCCTTTTCTCTCAAGTACACAAGGGTTTCCGACCCTGATGCTCTCTTTCTGGGTGTTACTTCACCGTCCTCAGCCTTTCTTTTCTTGGTCTCTCCAAGTTTCTCCATGGAACGCTTCCTCATCTCTTCTGCTTTTTTTCTGTCATTTTCTTTATTTTTCTCGCCCTGTTCTGAATTCTCACAAGCCTCCCTGTCGCTCTCCTCAAATCTCTCAATAATCTGGTCAAGCAGCTTGTCCGTTTCTGACATCTCGGGTGAAATTCCACTCGCACTTTCCTCTTCTGCCATTCTCTTCTTAAATTTCTTGGCCAACAGGGCATACCTGTCTCTCACAGCTCTTTTGTGTCCAAGTCGATTTCCAAATGCTTCAGTGGCATTCAACCTTTCTGTGATATCTTCCCATATCTTTCCTCTCTCCCTTGTTGAAGCCTTGTACTGGTAAGGTTCGGACACAACTATTTCTTGCAATAGAAGTAGATCACATTCTGTTTTCCACTCCATCTTTCTGTTCTAGGTTATGAAGAAACAAACATGTTGAAATTCTTGGTTTTTAATTATATAAAATGAAGATAAGAGGTTGATTACTTCACATGCAACGGTCTTTGGGATCAGAATTTCTTTTGCGAAAGGCACACTGCATTATTTTTGAAGAGGATTGAAGTACAGCATGTTGGCCTTATAATTCCGGACACTTTTTGCAATAACCACAATATCTTACCTCAACAGAGCACTAACAGAGTTATAGCAAGGGGGGTCCTGGGGTGCCCATGACCCCCTTTTG